CCTATCGCAATCTCTCGCTTTAAATGGTGGAAACGGCTACTTATGGCATATCGATACTACCAATAATGTATTATCTAATCTACTCGGAAAACCCTCCCGCTCACCGTAGGCAGAAAGGCTAATGAGAATAAGCTTTTTGGTGTGACAAAGCCTGCCCCCGCAGAGCAACAAAAATTGCTGCAGTTCTCAAAGGACCACTATGTCCAGCTAATCACCGTTATCCCAACACACTTGACTGCCATGAATATTTCGGAATGGCAAGACCCTTGAATATCAACAAGAACTCTGAAAAGGAAGTTCAGACCAACAGCCGCTTTGGACAAAATAAATACTGAATATCTTGTTACCTGATATCGTCCGCCCTTCTTTAAAAGGGGGACAGAGAAGGTCAGACTAAGCGAAAGGTGTTGAGGTTCTAATGAATAACCCGGAACACTGCAGTACATAGTGTGCTTTGAAAACACAACATACAAGGAAAATCAATATCCTTCCAGGGTGCGCCACGCACGCATACTACTACCACATTTGGCTAGTTCTTCAGAACAAGTGATCCCCACATTTTAAGTCACATACACCATTTACAGGAGTACGTTGTTAATTTTGCCTCCATTAAAAATTTTGTGGTTCATTATAAGCTTATTACAGTACTGCATAAGCTGTTTTTTTATTCTTAAGCATGACAGAAATGTTCGCCACGGCAGCGGCATTTTTTGTTGGTCGTGGTCCACTGAGACCACGTGGTTGTCTAATGCAATCATGACCATCATTTGATGGGCTAAAGCGCTCTTTCGTGACATTCGACGCCCAGGCGCCAAGGCAAGGCCGTACCATTTCCGAAGCAATTAGAGAACACTTTTGATCCGATGCTGGGAGGAGCCGAATTGACCATCAAACTTTATATCTCTAAAGGTATCCACCAAACATCATTTGTCTACGGTGATCTGATAAGAAGGGATGCACGTGGGTTGAAAAAAAGCAGAAATTCGTCTACGAGGGGTAAATTGCTTGACAAGTGGGCGGAACTGTAGATTTCGCAATTTATGAACTACCAGAAGCAAGGGTATCGGCAAATACGACTTGAAATTAAAACTGGTCACTGACGCAGTTTGAGGGAGAGCTATTAGGTTGGAAAGAAAGTTCTGAAACGCCCCACAGCCAAAATTTTGAATTTTTTTATCCTTTGTTTTTTCTAAGACCCGGAACATATTGACCATCAGACTTAGCAACACTACGCCAACCTTCGGGCAATTGGCTGACACCACATTTGTAGAAATTAGGAGAATTTTTGTCAAACAATCTTTTTTGAAGTCGGATTTGCAGTCCTTCTCGTCGTCGAGCTTTCTGTTCCTGGTAATGAGCGAGCGAGCGGGAAAGTGGAGGACGTGTATAGATAGGTTCGACGAATA